CAGTATGAATGAAATTATTTATTAATATAACAATATGTCAATATAAATTTGATAAAAATTGTGTGTGTATAAAACATAAGTTTATTACTTGTAAAGGTATTAATCAGTATGTTAAATGGTAAATATAAAAACATATGTACACAGGAATTTGTATTGCGTAATCGATATACATGTCTGTCTCAACTAAATTATTGAGGAGTCATAATCTGTGATTTTATTACATAACGAAAAATTAAATAGAACACTTAACTTAAATTTTCTCTACTATCCAGAATTATGATGCAGTTATCACTACAGTATTATATTTTTTGAGAAATATGTTTTATTAGTACAAAATAAGTCAGCCTAATATGTAGTATTAGTATTACTTTATGGTTATTAGTGTAATAATGGTAAATCCTGCATAGTTATATTTAACAGTTTTGTACACTGTAGGTTTATTGTATTTATCATAGGTTACATTTTATTTAATACCAATATGATTATTTATTACTACTTTGTATAATGTATGGTGTACAAACATGCATATTTCAATCAAGAAGGAATCCTGAAGCAATAAAAAAATGTAACATTACAGTAAATGTTATTTCTTAAGTATCCCTATCTGAATGTTTTCTTAATTTTGAAAAATCTAGGACAAAGTTTAAGTAAAAATATTTAAAGTTAGTTATTACATTTAAATAAGCATAGTTACTTATAATGGAGCAAAATATTTCAAATCAAATATAAATTACATAGTTCATAAAATGTTGTAGGTGTAATTAAAAATAATACATTTATTGTTGTGTACTATATACAGTTTTATATATTATTTATACATAATTAAAAACTATTCAAAAGTTTCCCAGGGTTTTTCAGGGCGGTATCTATATGTAGGTTTTGGATGTTTGTACTCCTCTGGTTCTTGTAAATAAATTCCATTTTCTGACAGTTCATTTACTAATAATTGTATTTTATTTCCAGTAATTATTGATTTATCAACATAAATTTCTGATATTCCACTCTCTAAGCAGCGTTGTGCAAGTACTTGTCCCACAAACTTGAATGCTGTAGTATCATTTGTACTAAACAATAATTCAGATTATTATTTATTGTTTTGTAATCAAATGTTTAATTGAATAACTACTTGTTAATCTTTTGATAGCTTTCATTAAATAATAAAATAACCTGTTACAAAAGAGTATATCCCATTTTCTTTTACTATTACATATTTATTATCCATTTTGTTGTTACTTGACATGTTAATTATTATATATAATGTATATTATGTTTACAAACCTATATAATTGTTTCTTTATTCCCCATTCTTGACTCGATGCTGAGATAACAGGACCATTTTCGAAATGATATATTTCGGCCGTACAGTAACGTTGACTAGACTTTACAGTTAATCTATACAAATTTTAATTGGAAATATTTGAAAATGATATAAACTAGTGCAGTATTTCTTAAATTAAACATAAATATCATTAAGGTTATAATATAAAAAATTATATCAGGATAGTTGTCTTACTTATGCCAGTATGACTCTCCACATTTATCAAGAGCATAACCTTTAGGCTTTCTCGCAATCCTTAAACGTTCTAAATTTCTTGGATTACGATTTCTAATTTCCTTACAATTTTGTATTATCTCTACATTTCCATGTATTTGCCGTTTAATGAATAAATTATTAATACACATTCTAGACATTTTCAAATTTTAATTGAGTTTATATAATTAAAAATGTATACGTAATTTTTAACTGATCAACTAGCTTCATTAATTATTTATACAAAAGTTCATAAACGTAAACTGTTTAAGTTTAAATTTTCAGTTTCTTAATCATTTTAAGATCACAAATTATGAACAGGTAGATAATCAAATGTGCATCTACAGTGAGTCTCAAAATTCTTGCTGAAACCCTAGAACTAACGCAACCGCACAGCGGTGGTGGCTATGTGAAATGACGTACAATATGTATGATGGCGAATGGTGTTTCACATAAATCGTACGCGATTCGTCATTGTACGAATTTGTTCTTAAATACACCGTTTTAAATTGTAGATGGCATAACAAATCCTCTAATTTTTTTCACATGTGTATTTCAGACCATGTGACACCAAGTCCCATAAAATGATAAGTGTATCTTATACCTCGTCTATGTCAATACTAATTATGTATTTAAATGAATTTAAATTTCTTTAAAATTTTTAACTCAAATGTAGAGGACAGCACAATCTACAACTCTTTTCATGAATGAAGTCTAGAAATCTATTGTCTTGTTCTTTTAAGCTTTAAACATAACCAAGATAGATATGAAAAATAAAAAATGAGAGTAGATTTGTTATTCTAAGTCAGTGTTATATGACAAGAAGAAAATTTCATATTATTGAAAATTAAGAATTTACTTTAAAATGGGCACTGTAGAATACGGTTTTCCAATGATTGGTGGTTTAATGCCAGTGAGTAAATAAGAAATATAAATAATTTACAAATGAAAAATTGTTTTGTGTATACAAATTTTCAAATGAAGAAATTTTTTAATTTTGTTACTCTTTGGGCTTTTAGCAAATTCAAGCTCTTATAGCACCACCTATGTCAGAAGATTCCAAAACAGCAAAAAATAAAAAGGATAAGGAGGAAAAGAAGCATCCATATTTTAAAAGACGAGGACGTGGTCATAATCATGATATTTGTGATGCCTGTAGAGATGGAGGAGAACTTATATGTTGCGACAAATGCCCTGCATCATATCATTTGCAATGCCAGTAAGTTATATCATATATTATTCAATTATATTATAATAATTCACTGTTCAAATATTTGTTATATATAAATTTTGTAATTATTTTTTTAATAATATCATTTCTTTATGTAGAAAATTGACTATAATTATTTTAGACTAAATTTTATATATCTTTATGGTGACAAAAATTATTAAATGTCATATATACAATTATTTATAGTTATCCAGCTGTAGATCCAGCAGATATTCCTAATGGAGAATGGTTGTGTTATGCTTGTCGATGTGCAGCAAAAAGAAATCTTTTAGATAATAAAGGAAATGAAAAAAACAAAAAAAAATCTGCATTAGAGGTGTTAGCTCTAGCAGCATCTTTAGTTAATCCCAGAGAATTTGAATTACCTAAAGAATTACAATTACCGATTATGTTTCCTGGTAGTAATAAGGTAGATTATGTTTCAGGTAGAAGAGGAAAGCAACAAAGTGGAAGTAATAATGGTATGTATTCTTTAACTTAATTTATACAAATTCATAAACATTTGTTATGTATTTTTAACTGGAATGTGTTTTCTTTGTTAGTAGGGAGAAATCATTGTTTAGACAACAATTTAATGGTACCTTTGCCAGCGCGTTTATGCTTTGAATGTGGTCGTAGCTGCAGGAAAGCACCATTAATTGCATGTGATTACTGTCCATTGTATTTTCATCAAGATTGCTTAGATCCACCGCTAACTGCTTTTCCCATTGGAAGATGGATGTGTCCCAATCATCCAA